TCTGATCTTCTAAGGTGCTGAAGTCTAAAGGTGAACTGTACATGCTGTGGAGTCGGCATGCCTGGACTCACAGCTTGGCTTGCTGGCTGAAGAATTCTCTTTTCTATCTTATAAAATAGGAAGCTCACTTCACAGAGATGACAGAAAAACTTAGTAACAGTGCCCAGAGACAGGAGTGGGCTGGTAAAGATTGAACAACTGGCTCTCCAGGTGATTCCAAACAAGAGTGGGGTTGCAGTATTTCCAATTTTCATGGCATAGATAGGCTTTCCATAGTGATTTCAGGCTACTGTGTGACATTGACCTGCTCACTGGAAATTAAACCCTTGTTCTCCAAAACTGGGAAGCCTAGAACACCTTGGCATGGGAAGGACTCTGAGTAGCATGGGTGGAAAGGGGGCAGCATCTTACTCCCAGAATGCATTGTGGCTCTTACCTTTATTCTTGTTATTGCTGTCAGCACGGCCTCTGACTTACATAAAGAATGGTAAAGTTGATAAAATACTAAACACTTGTGTGGGATGCTATGCATAAATGTTAGAAAAATAAAATTTTTAGAATTTTTTTTTGTTTTTGAAACAAGGTCTACCTATTTTAGGCCAAAGTGGCCCTGACCTTGAGGTCTTCTGGACTTAGCCTCTCAAATCCTGGGATGAATGGAATCTTCTCATACCTAGGTGTTGGGGAGAACTTAAAATTATCCAAACAGAGGAAATAGTACATGCAAAGTGTCAAAAGAGCAAGTTTTATATTTGACCACCACTGTGAAGAAGACAGAAGGTATGTGTTTAAGGCAGTTTGGGTAATAAGCTAGACAGAAGGGTACAGGCTAAGCTCCACCCATGACCATTTTCACAGCTCTTCTTCATGTGCTATGGGAAATGTCGACTTGGTCAGATTTGCCTGTTCAAAAGTAACTCTGTTACTTGGGAGATGGCTCAGTAAGTGAAGCCTTGCTACACAAACATGAGGCCCTGAGGTGAAGCCCAGAATCCATGTAAAAAATCCAGTGATGGGGGTGTTGGAAAGCAATTCAAGAGGATCCCTGAGGCTCACTGGCCAGCCAGTCTAGTCTAAATTGGTGAGCCCCATGTTCAGTGAGAGGCACTGTTTAAAAACAATGTAGAGGGAGCAGCTGAAGAAGACATTGGTGTTGATCTCTGATCACCACGTGCATGCACATGAACACATATGCAGGGTCTTTCTAGCTGTAGTGCACAGAATGGGTTAGACTGCAGAGGGGTCAGGTGGAGGCCAGTGTGGTGGTCCAGGCCAGCAATGACAGAAGCTTGGCCTACAGTGCCGGTGGTGGGGACAGGCAGAAGTGGATGAAATTTAGGAGGTAGCACTGACGGGGCTTGATGATTGATTGGATGGGGTGACGGTTGGAGAGGGGAGGGATGGGGACAATGCTCAGGTTTCAGGGTTGAAAAATTGGGTGGGTAGAGTTAGAAAGTGATTTTTTTAAAGGTATAAAGTGCTAGGGGAGTTCAGAGGGAGGACAAAATACTTCCAGCTGGTGGAGAGGTGGGAAGATTTAATATTGTAAAGATGTCGATTAATGAATAAATGTAACACAATGCCAATCAAAATACCAACAAAATGTTTTGGGGAAACTTTACAAAGTTCACCTGGAAAAGTGCTAAAATAGCACCCCCAGTTTTGAAAAATGAGAGGACCTTGCACTTTTAGACATTAAAACCTATTTTAAGTTTCAATAATTAAAAGAATATGAGGTTTTGCAGGAGCACATAGACGTGTCAGGCAGCAGAGGAGAAAAATTGGAAAATAAACAGTGTCTGCACACACCGAGCGTGTCAGCATGGTGAGGATCTTTCTCAAGTCAGTGAGGAAAAGACAGACATATACTGGGCCAACTAGTTAAAAAGCCTTATTTCTAATTCCACATCATCAACTGAAATATCTTCAAATTAATAATTCTTGGATAAAATGTAGACATTTCAAAAGATTATACATCTAAAAACGATTACCATCTAGTGCTTTGCTAATCTGGACACTAAAAAAGAGACCATTGAGCAAAAATTATATAAAAAGCAAACTTTGGTAAGTCAAAGTGTCTAGTCGTTAAAAGCAGTCCTGGCGGCATCTTTGCTGTGGAGAACATACTGTCTTAGGTATAAGTAGATTCAGTAATTTGTTGTACAAAATGTGTGGCTCCTACTGACAACTGTTGTGTTACGCACTGTGAACAAAGAAGGGATTGTTAGGTATCTTACAAATTAAGAAGAAAAAGACAAAGACCAGGTAGAATGATCCATGTATGATCAGAAGTAATTCAGGATGAATGTGACTGGGCATGGTATTGCACACCTGTAGCTCTAGCAAGCAGGATTAGGAGTTCAAAATCAAAATCATTCTTGGTTACATAATGAGTTTGAAGCCTGTCTGGGCTACATAAGACCCTGTTGGAAAGAAGGAAGGAAGGAAGGAAGGGAGGAAGGAGGAAAGGAGGGAGGGAGGGAGGAGGAAGGAAGGAAGGAGGAAGGAAGGAAGAAGGAAGGAGGGAGGAAGGAAGGAAAAGAGAGAAAGTATGGGACTGATGTACTAGCTTA